CACAAGACTTCAGCAGTTCACATCCTAAGGATAGAAATTTTATTTCGTGTTTTGAATGCGACCAACCAATAAGCTTCACAGTGTTCATGGTGGTGTGGTATTTATTATACTCAATGATATGCTGATATTTTAGGAACGATACTTCGGCCCTCCAGAACAAAAACTCTATTCTTGAACAACAGGGCAAAAAAAGTTGAGGGAAATATATTGTCTCTAATACCACTTCAGTTATACAAGGTGAGTGATTTTCTTGCCGAAAACTTGGAGTGTGTCGAATAATATACCATTGAGAGATATTGAGAACATACCAACTAGTTTATACAGTGTGTCCAAGATGGGGATGTCTATCGTGGAGTGAAGTAGTTGATGATGGTTTCTCCGAAACAAAACGTCGTACGGAAAATCTCTCAACGCTATTTTGTAGAACTTGAAAAGTAGCAATGAGAAAGTGTCTTTTGTTTTCCTATATCTCTTCAAAAAATGCCTGAAATAAATTAAAGCGATCTACACGATAGACATCCTTACCTTGAACAAGGAGTATATATACCCTTAAATGAGGTTCATTGTAGATCTGTTGTCCTTATTATCGGAACCTTATTCATTTCTCTCTAAGATAACATCCATTGAAAATAACTTTATCTACTCACTGCTTCGAAAGTAAGTGTTTGATCCCTCATTCAAGGACACAAACCTGTCAAATTACTCCCGTGGAAGGAAATAATTATTACATATATACGTGGAAGATCTGTGCTACCCAAGTATAGTTTATGCAAAGTCAGTTGAACAGATCATCAAACGAATGTCGGGCCGCGCTGCCGCACTCTTTGAACTTTCAAAGGGACCGACGGCTTGCGGTGATGTGTTTTTCCAACTGAACAAATAACAATTTTACTTCCTTCTCTTTCTAACTACTTTTACTTCCTTAAGATTATTCCAAATTTACTCAATCAAAACTTCAAATAAATAGTTATTTATTATACAAGGCCAAAAAGTACTAGATTTTAGCTCCAGGTTACAAATCAAATATTTTTCCCGTGTATAATGCACTATTTTTTTCTGTGACAGAAGGAAGGTCGAATCGATATTGAGAAGGTATTACATTATTTCGAAATCTGAAAATTATCGACGTGAAATTTTAAGTTTTTAACAGTAGGGACACCTGCGTCGTAGGCATCCTTATCATTCTTTTGAAGTAATCAAATATCTGATGTCACCTCTGTCAGTCTAATTCAGTTGTTCAGTAATATACGTAACCGCGAAGTCGAATGGAAGATGAAAGGACTTGCAGTTCTTTCTCGGAGACGGTATTATTGACTCATTTTTCGGAACTATAGCACAACAAGAGCAATCAACAGTGTATATATACAGTCAGTCCAAGATAAGGTTGAACAGCATGGGGATCTCGAAAACGGTAGGAGATACGAAATCGGTTAAATGGGGAAAAAGTTGCGCATTCGGAGGCTCATATCAAGAGCCTTCGGAAATTTTGAAAATTATTTTTAGTTTTTGAGTTATATCGAAAAAAGTGAATTTTTTGAATTTCTATTTTTTTTTTCTCCGTTATTATTAGAGATACAGCAAAACTGAGAATACTTTTCCATAGCAACTTTTGATCGGTCAACGTGGTGATACCGATTGTTTCATGCGACGTTTCGTATTCGTGGAACCATCATCAACTTTTGTTTTTTAAATACGGTCCTGATAATTTTTTCACAGATTCTAAAAGGTTTTTTTATTCTGAATTCAACCATGTATTATACAAGGTGGTTCATTTGTGTTTCGACCTATTTCCATCCATCATCAATGTTTTTTCGAAACTCCAAAGGAAAAATGCCATCAGTTCCACTTATTTTGAAGGAAAATTAGTCAACACACTAATACCTCATCAACTGATTTCAATCAACAACCCATTTCATTTTGCGGAAACAAAAATTCCATCCATACAAATTCAGAATATGTCAAGCGCTACAACCAGGAGATGACGAAAGGCGCAAGACATCCTGTGAGTGGTATACCAGGAAATGTTAAAATTTTGCAGATTTCTTTCGAACAATCATCTGGACTGATGAAAGCATGGTCACTAATCATGGTAGCTTCGATAGAAAAAATACACATTATTGTTCTCGAGAAAATGAACATTTATACATTACAGCGAGACACCAACACCGTTTCGGCTTTAATATGTGGGTTGCAATATTTGGTACACGAATTATTGTTCCTTCTATTCACCATGAAACACAGACTTCCGAACGTTATAGAAATTCGCTTGAGAATCATCTTGAGGAAGCTCTGGATGATTTACCGATTGCGGAAATTCAGAACTCTGTTGGTTTCAACAAGATGGCGCTCCGGTACATAATTCCAGAGAAGTCCGTGCGTTTTTATCCCTTGGCCGGCGCGGTCGCCTGATTTAACACAGCTGGATTTTTTCTTAGGGGATATATCGAACTTTGTACACGCAAATAACTTTGAGGATGAAGAAGAACTAAGGAACAGTGTCTTCGAAGCATTCAATAGAATAACCCCAGAAATGCTTAGCAATGTCTTAGAAACAACTGTGAGAAGAGGATATCTTTGTTCAGAAAATAATGGTTATCATTTTGAACATTTGTTATGAATGTCTCTGTAGGTATTGTCAAAGTTAAGTTGTTAAAGTAATTCGTGTAAGAATTCATCAACAATTTTAAACGCTGCATTGATCGAATGATGTAGTGAAATATTTTTCATTCACTTTTCAGTATTGAATAACTAATCCATGAAGTTTGACACTAAATGATAAGAAATAAGTGGAACTGATGGCTTTTTTTCTTTTGGAAGTTCGAAAAAACATTGATGATGGATGGAAATAGGTCGAAACACATTCGAATCACCTTGTATAGTACATTGTTGAATTCAGAATAAAAAAACCTTTCAGAATCTGTGAAAAAATTATCAGGATCGTATTTAAAAAACAAAAGTTGATGATGGCTCCACGAATACGAAACGTCGCATAAAAAAATCGGTATCACCACGTTAAACCTCATCAAAAGTTGCAATGAAAAAGTATTTTCAGTTTTTCTGTATCTCTGATAATAACGGAGAAAAAAAATAAAATAGAAATTCCAAAAATTCACTTTTTTCGATACAACTCAAAAACTGAAGATAATTTTCGAAATTTTCGAAGGCTCTTGATATGAGCCTCCGAATGCGCAACTTTTTCCCCATTTAAGTGACTTCGTAAAAGTACTTACTTTTTTCCCACGGGAAAAAAGTAATTTATAAAAAGTGACATTTCATAACCTGCCAACAGAGATGAAATGCCAAACTTTTTTCCCGTCATAGAAAAAATGCTATTATTGACACAATAAACAAATTCATGTGACAGATTCAGATTCAGATTCGAATATTGTCTGTGAACCCAGATCATGTAACACATTGATTTGGATCGATACTCGAGAGATAGACCGCTTGAAGAACAATTTCGTAGATAAGATCATTGGGAGCAAAGGTTAATTTCCTCGGCTGAGGCCTCGGCTATCAATTTGCACACTCGACTATAATAGACAGTGTTTCATCCTTGGTACATAAATAAATATTTAAAGAAATCTATTCCTACCATGTGATAAAAACTGTGGAATTTCATCAACTTCAATACCGTTGATAATAATAATAAATAATTCCCGATTCTTCATCTGCATACAAATCCAATTTCTTGAATTCATCATTTATATTACTGTTAATTCATATTTTCTTAAATTAGGTTTGTTGATGTTGCATTACCCAGTATATTAGAGTCGTAGAAAAAGTATAGTACGTATTGTGTTTTAGAAGCATATTATGCACACATTTAGGCATGCACTCATCAAATCACTGCACTCGCCGCTTTTTTCTATGGGTGCGTAATATGCCTTTTACGCACTTGATACGTTATATACTATAACAACATCGTGGTAGTACCAGTATCAGGTGTATATTTAATATTCCTATGTCAATACAGTGAAAATCGATCTGAAAGTGTTCGGAGTTGATTCTGGATGAACCGGTAACATAATGAATTTTATAATGATTGCACAATGAAGAGAAAATGAAGATACACAATTAATGTCAGTATGAGTTGCCGCAGTATTCAAGCGAAACAACCGCATTCCTCTTCTGACAGCCGAGACTTTACGAGTACCTCTGCTCCGCATGATTCACACCAGTGAAGTGTTTTCCCGAGTGTTTTCCAGTGTAGACTTCATACTATACAATATGCGTCGACAGTTGGATTCAGCTCGAATACTGAAAACACAAATAGAGGCAGGACAGGCTGACATAAAAAATCCGCAACTTATTCTGACATTGTTTATCCGACAAAAATAAGATAACAAGATCAACAGTTAAAGCAACACTGCGAGAGCTGATAACATTGTAAATTTATGTCAACATCATCCTGGGACTATGTATTTTTCTTGGCAAGTACCATGAATTCCAATACGAATTCCACCAATTCGAAATACTCATTTCAACTATAGGGTCTTAATTCTCTAGTAAAAACATGCGAATCACCTCTTTTATTAATCAATTATTGATACTGGATAAAAGGAAAGAAACGTTCATTCGATTTCGCGCCAAATTTTTGTTTCGCAACATACAATACATCCTTTCAAAGTGATAAATGGTCTTCAGAATTCCATTCATCATTTCAGTATTTCATTGCATACTGATAATACATATACATAAACTATGTATAGCTAATATATATCAAGGTATTTAGCACGTGAAAGGCCAATTATGATTTCATAAGCTCCTCATGAACTGCGTTTCCAGTTGAGAGCCTAACATATACATACTACAGTGTTAGGTATTTATGCTCATGTTCACTCATTTTCTGAAGGAATACAGGACCGATTCAAGAATATCAAGACACAATATAGGGAGAGGTGAATACCAACGCATACAAACTGCGTTTCATCTCCTACATCGAGAACAACACAACAAGCACGAAGATCAGACTCAATTTCCGCACGAGTTACTCACTTTTATGACATCAGCAGGACACTGTAGCGAGGTAACAAGCCAAGGACCGTTTCACACCGACCCGGTGCCTTTTTCGGTGTCCCCTTCACAAAAATCGTCTGATAGGTACACCACACCACTTTGCCGGTGCGACGCGACACGTCACTAGCCTTGCAACTCCGCGGCCTGCTGTCAGCTACTCCTAGAGTTCTCGTACTCGACGTCTTTCGGATCGGGAGTGCGGCCAAGGCGCCAGCGCCAATCGGATCGATAGGATACCACGCATCCTGCACTCGGGAGTCCTGCGCGGTGTTGCCGGACGTGCGGAGTTGGCGGGAGATGTGCTGCTTCTGTCGTGCAGGCACCTGTTGGATTCGACATTCGAATGAACATTGTGAAACATCCAATTTTCTCATCACGAACGCTAAGAAAACCAGTTCTCATTTCGATTCCTGGACAACAAGATGGTGGGCTATCAAAAGTATCATTGAATTGGAAACTTGTATAACAATGGGCGTGTACACCTTGGTATAACGTTCAACTCAAACCATGTTTATAATGATTCTTTCATACATAAATGATGATTGACGACATAATTCGATCGAACAATGAACTGGGATGTTTTATTTTTGGACATAAATAATAGTACCTTCTGAAAACGGACCCTCTTATGACGTAAAAACCTCATCTTGCCATAGTTGACAAAAAATACCAAACGCCCTACGAAGACTCAGGCAACTGATATATTAATTCTTTCAACTGTGATCTCGCGCTTATTCACTCTGTCAGAAATCATGTATCATTCATATCTGTCTGGAATAGTCTTGTTTCAGTATTAGGGTTTTGACGTCACATGATCGCCTCGTTTACAGAGGTCCGAAAATCGGGGATTTCAATAATTTTTAATAAAACGTAGGGAACTCACAGCAAGAAACGGTTTGCGGTGGTGAGCTAGTTTGGGTGAGTTCTATCGAATTCTTTTGATGTTTTGGAAAAATAAAAATATTTTTATCTGTTATAGGCACGGCAGCTATTTTATTTCGGAGCAGGTTGTTAGTTAGTTCTTCATATTATATATATAATCCTTTTGTCAAGCGCCACTCAGTTATCGGAGCGAATTACTGAGATAATATAGGCAATGATATCAACAAATTTATTCACCTTGACGTGCCAACAATAGGTATTTTGGTGGTAAATAATGTTTTACCGTGATCATAACTCAGTACAAGGGTAAATTTTCTTTTATACAAGGTGTTTTTGAAATAAGTGCACATATTCAGCACATTGATATGATACAGTCTAAGGAATATTCCCATGATATCAGATTTTTTCTTATTCTTCTAATTAACGAGGAATTTCATCCCAAAAATTGAACAAAATACGAGAAAAAATCAAGTACGCCACTTCAAAACAATTTAATTGATTGAACTCCGTGTGATTGTGCCTACTGCATAGAAATTTGAACAGAGGTGACGTCGGATTTGCTAGTGTGGAACCATGTAGAACTTTGGTTGGAAAGAAAGGGCCCAGCCACAAATTTTATTTTCCAAAATTTTTGTTATTAGTGCCATTCGATAGTACAGGTCGAGCTTTCTCAGTGTTTGAAATATTTGCCACCCTTTATGGGCCTATATCTTGGGTTCACAGAGTCAATAGTTGAATTTCATCTGTTCAATTCAGGTAGTGGTGGTGAAAACAGAATAACGTTCGCGGATTGAACGGGGAGCTTCATGAGAGAATTTACATAAGAGGTTAAATTCGTATATTTTCAAAATCATAATACTGGAGCTCGGAATCTAGAGAATGTATCAACTCATATTTGCAGCAGTGATAGTGGTGATCAGAGAAACTTCTTTGAAATCAAGAGAATTCATTTTATCTTGAATTGAAGACATGAAACCTGTCTTACTTGAATGAATTATGAACTAGTGAACCTCACGTAGAAAATTTCTCCCAAATGTCTTTCATGAGTTTCGTTTTTTGTCTATTTAATTTGATTAACTATAATATACTGTTTCTTGTCCATGGTACATGAATCCCTGTTATGTATAGTTAAGTTCTTATTTCTCCAGGTTTTGCGAATATTGGCATCTTGGACATTGTAAATTCTGCGAGTTTGGTTGAATCAGACAGAGTTGATTATTTAATGGTCCAAGTGAATCAATTTTATTTACTCACTGCAATGAAAGAGATCATTTGCTTCCTCATTTGAAGATACAAACCTGTCAATTTATTCCCACGGGAGAAAAAAATATATGTCTATATAAATTTGGCTCTAGCTTGCTTCCTTGGTAAAAAAAAACGTACAGATCTGTTCTATTCAAGTACCCCATGAGTGTCTCAATCACTACTTTATGATACAAATAACAACTTCATTTTTGAACTACAATGATCTCATACACTTCCTCATATTCCAAACTCACATACATTTGCTCTCTTGGTATATAAATAGCTATTATCCATCTAGAATATAGCAAAGCTTTTCCAGTAATGAAAACTGTCAGTTTCATTTTCTTCGTGCAAATGCCATAATTTTCAGGAAATCGGGTTTTGTCAGAGCAACTCTCTATACTGGTTGTCAATTCATTCGATCAGCCTATATTCCAATTATTCTCATAAGAGTTTTGTTTCTCTAAGAGCCACCGTCTAGATCATTTTTTGGCGTTGCTCTCAACAAGCACTTTCAAAATTCGAAATAACTATTCCGAAATCTTGGATGGTCCGCCACATTGGATTTAGATTGATGTCAAATCATTTCTCGAGTTGCTCTCAATGAGCCCTTCTATTTGACACCCATATTGTCGAAATGCATTGAGAATAACTATTCCGCCATCTTGTATAGTCTGCCCTATTGAATTTGGAATAACGTCTTGTCTAGTTTTCTCCCACTATTAATATCTTATACCACATTGGAAACTGTTACATTGGTTATTTTGACTACTTGCTACCTCGAATTTTAACTGAAATATGTTGCATTATTATCGAACGTTCCAATGAAAAGAATATCATTATATTCTAATCCATCGAATCGAATTCATGCATACATTTATAAAAACATTCAGTGTAAATATAAATATAGGAATCATAGTTCGGCGGGCCAAATAAGTCCTGGGAGAGGATGAAGGCGTTCAGTCCTCAGAGCCTGGAGTATCTGAACAATTCATTTCTGCAGATGACGTCGTTTTTCAAGTCATGAGCTATGGCTGACTACCATCATGAACTGATATCACCATTTCTAGCGAGCGCTTGAGATTTCGTGTTGAAATTGACAGCGAGTTGATGATCTCAACATCTATATTGTGCTCTGGGCACACATCCTACGGTCATTTTTTAGGAGCCAGACTTTACCTCCTACAATATGAACATTCTTTTAATTACTAGTGGGGAATTCAACAAAACACAACATATTTCTCTGTTAGGCTTTCGAATGAAAAACTGAAAGAATCATCTGATATTTAGTGAAATGGTGAATACGAATGGCGCATTCGCCATATTCTCGAATTCTCAAACTGAATCGCACCAATCAACTTTATTATTCCCTAGAAACAACATTTGTTGACAACAGGAAACAGTAAAGGCACCATATTCGAACATAATCAGAGAAGACAGTGAAATTAATGATTCACACTGAATCACTCAAGAAGAAATAGTTTTTCAAGTTGAATATATAATTGTATATATAATTGTTTATTCAGGAATTATTTACAATATAATACAAATCCTTTTCCAAGGTATAAAATGATAGCAATGAATTCGCTGATGAACAAACAGGGTTGCCACAAAAGGTTGAATGCTCGTTTATACGTATAATAATGGTTTTGAATTGACTCTGTCGTAAAATAAGTACAGGTTTGAATTAGCATAAATGAAAGATTGAATAGAGTATGATGACAATAAACCTCCGTTACTGAAGATTCAGAGTTATTTTCTTTACTAGGCAGGAAAGTAGTAGGGTGACGGCCGCGGCTGATAGTTCTAGGCAAAGCTGGACAATTCCAATACAACAAACACATTATATATATAAGAGTATTCACTAAAAAAAAAACCCTCCACGCAGTGTGCGGAGTTGGCTGGTGTTAGCCGGGGGATGTTTGTTCTACGATTAGAGTTCTAGTCAATGAATCTCATATCCTGAAGCATATACGAACATTAGCTTGATGACCACGCTCAGATCAACCGGCTGGAGTGGCCTACAAACATGAGCAGCGAGTCCCGAATTTCGTGAAATTCCATATTTTCAGTGTCCATTGGTAATGAGACGGAGAACTTTGCTTTGTAGCACCTGTAACTGTCCTATTTGGGTAGGTGAGCCACTACAAAACACCAGAGAGGCGTATATCATTACAGGCCTGATTATCTGCTTATTGATCAGGAACTAGTTATCCAATGTTAGCGAGGAATTTCTCGCCAAAAAACAATTCAAGCCCCTGGAAGCTACCTAGGTTTTTGGTATTAAATAGTTGAAATTACTTGTGGATGACAAAAGTCTGTCCAGCTTCACTCACAGGTATTTCACAACGCGAGAATATGTTACCTCTGTGCCCTTAACAGTCAAAGGTCAGCGTATGACATCGACGTTTATTTTCCGTTTTTTTCTCGCATCTTCGACGCAGTCTGTCGATACGTTAGCCCCCGGAAAACGGTATGCAAATTGTCAAACTATATTTCTAACAGTACAATCTACAAGTACACAAATTTCAATGACTGTATAATATGATATAAAATAATTCTGCAACTTTCCCCGCTCGCCCCCACATATAAGTCCCCCAACGCGAGCAGGCAGTTCTGCGCCTCAGTATTCCAGATCATAATTTATGGAACCATTCCAGAAGAAAGTTGTCTCGAGTCATGTTGAAACTAGTCTATTAGTGAAGTGGTGGCGATTCATCAAGACTCTATAGGAGTATAGCTAAGTACTAGTTTCGAGACTTTGATGAGCATATTTAAAGATCTCATATAGACATCCAGTTGTCACCAATAGAATAATTCTGACCAACTTCTTCAGAGCGGTAGTTTATTCATGCTGTTTCTCGAAATTCCTTGCTGCCCAAGATGTGTTTGATATTTCGAAAACATTGTATGTGGTATTTGACATATTTTTCTGAGTATGAATGGAAAATTGGAAAACAAAATCGAACAGTTGGTACAGTTACAAACTGAGGAAATATATGACAAATCATAAATATCTTTTCATGAATTGAAAAGACAAAATAGTACCGGTTTGAGGCTGGATTCACTCCTGATAATTGGCAACACTGCCTACTGAAAGGTTGTCCCTGCTGGTACACATCTCGTATCGTAAAACAACAAACTGAATCGCTGACGATTCCACGTTTTATTGCCTCTCGTTCGACTTGGCATCATC